CGGTATCGATATGTATCGATTTGACTATACTGCACCAACGTTTTCTCTATTTTTGCTTACTAATCGTTTAAGAAATGTTTCTTTCCTAAGAAATCAAATAAAGACGATTAAAAAGGTACGTAAAGGTACATAGCGTGAGCTTTAGGGAATACATTCACTTGTTTCTTTATATTCAAAATATTTAATATGTTTATTACCCATATATTACTTCTCACATCTTTTTTCATTAAATTCAAACACAGAGTAACAGTTCAAAAACCGACAAATCAATATAAATGAAAACCCGGAGTATTCGCAGAATACGCGACAGATCACAAACGTATTTGGAACAAAGTGTGTTCGTTATTATATTGGACATTAATCAGTTTGAGCAATGCGTGACTAATTATTCATTTTCGTCATTATAACGAATCTTCGGTAAGTAAACAATCGAGAATTTATTATGCATTTCACTGAAATATCGAGCAGTTTTATCGTTAAGCAAACATACAAATATTAATTTCATTAAATGACATAGTTGGTCGATATCGTCGTATATAATATCAAAGACAGTAGCTTCATATATTTCTTCGTCCTCGGAAACTTTCGTTACGAACTGTTTCTGAATTTACGGGAATTAAAATTTTTGATTAATTTAACTATCGACTGCTTTCGATGACGATCCGTCGATTGATTTCGTACGGACAGCTTGCAACAACTTTCTATATTCATATTATAGAACTGACGCACACGAAGATACTAGGAATACTATTATAAGGAATCAGAAACTTTTGAATGTCGTAATGAGCACACGAGACAAAATTTGATCCTCGACAAACATAACAAATTGAACGGATAATAACTGATGCGGTAAAATCACGTACATGCGACAGCGGCCGATGACTACTAGCTGACAAAGTCACGTATACGTGATAGCGGCCATCAAAGTATTAGTTGTCAAAGATTTGCAATGTTTCGTGCTTTCGACGAATTTTAAATTATACAGGGTGTTCCAACACCTCTAGGAAAGATTTTAATGGGAGATTCTAAAGTCCAAAATAAGACGAAAATCAAGAATACCAATTTGTTGATTGAAGCTTCGTTAAAAAGTTATTAACGTTTAAAGTTCCGCGTGTAGAACGGCTGTCTGTGAACAGCTGCGTGCATACTATTGAAGTCGATTGTAGATCGAGAGCGTCACGTAGTTGATCGGTGAGAGCGCCATCATAATGCAAGCTAATGCGTCACCTTGATCGAGTAATACGTCTTGCGACACGTGAGAGAGGTGTATCGAAATACAGTTTTCTTATAAAAGGATATCTCGTGCAAACTATTTCTTGTTACCCTGTTTAACTCCTGCCACGTACCTCATCAATACATGCGACAGTCACTCTCACTCAACATGAAAATCTCTACTTACTGACGTATTGACAGCCTTACAGTTTTCTTAGTGAGAATCACTATCACAAACGAGGTATACAAGTAGATCTAGCATCCAATGTATCTTTTCGGCCCATTTTTATGGGCCTCTAGAGCCCCATTACCATTTACGTGTCACTCGCAACATTACCAATGGATTACACAAATGAACACAAGAGGAAGTGAGACAGAAAATAAAATTACAGAAACATTTCTGGTCACACATTATATTTTCAATAAAGAATTTTTTTCTCGAAAATGCGTACGATTTTAACGGTATGTGTAACGGTATTCACCAAAAATTATTATAATTAACCCCCACAACCAAAAATAATTTTTTTAGGACAATTTGAAATTTTTTAATTTCGCCGAAAAATTTGTCCATCCTACTGAATTTTGTTTTCAAAAATGCGTAGGATTTTCGAGGTATGTGTATTCATAAAAAACGATTGTAATTTGCCCCTGCAACCGAAAATAATTTTTTCAGAGCGATTTGAAAAATTTTAGCACCAATCCCCTGTCGATTTTTCTTAAAAATTCGTTTTTGATCTTTAATAAACTTGTATGACGGCCTATGGAAATGTTGTCTCATACTTTTTTGTAGGGATTCATGATCTCTACTTCAGAAATAAAGTTCAATGAAATACATGCGCTATTGTAAGAGTTATGTTCGTTTGAAAATTGCATTTTTTACTCCCTTCCATAGTCACTCACATGTATTTACCCACAGTCTACAGCTGCCTGCCCATCAATACTACTTCAGTGAATAGTTTCTCAACTGACCGCTATTCATGAGAAGAGGACGCTAAAATCACCTCCAAATTTTCCGGTTGGTATGGCAGTCAGATTGGGCCACGGAAGTCCATAAGGTAAAAGGTTGACTCGTATACCACGTCTGTGGTGAGAACTACTATCGCGCGCACGCAGCTGTTCGCAGATTGCCGTTCTACTGGCGCAACTTTAACCGTTAATAACTTTTTAACGAAGCCTCAATCAACAAATTGGTATTCTTGATTTTCGTCTTATTTTGTCCTCTAGAATCTTCCATTAAAATTTTCCCCCGAGGTGGCTGAACATCCTATATGTATACGTTACGAATTGTCTTCGTGAAAGTAAAATTGAATTCGCAGAGAGACTGGAAAAACAGCGCGCGAGGCGTTTTCCAAACAACTTGACTCATCGTCGCTTCGATAATATAAATTGAGATTAACATGCGTGACGACTATATTCTATATATTACATTTAAGACACTTCCGAATGCAATTTTCACAAATTGCAGAATATCATCTTTGTTCGATACACGATTAAAGTGTTCAGTTTAGTTTTTAAATCTCAAAATCAGAAACTCGTACGGTCGGGTCAGAAAACTTTTTCGCCTCTAAATCGTCTCTTCCACGATCAGAGTTTAACAAATTTTACTTTCGAATAACGAATGAAAATGTTAGATTCGTTGATAAACTAGCTTTGAACTGGAACGTTGGTTTAAAAAATTCGTTAATAGATTCTAATTTATAAATGAATTTACGAATGAAACGTACATAGAAGTTAATTTACGAATCAAATCTAAAATTTCTATTCGTAATTCGTAAATAAAATTTGAGAGTTTTGCTATCCCGACTCTAGACGGTTTCTTCTTTGTTCCCATTTCATGTATTCGGCAGGGTACAATACTATACCGGTTTCAACGAGAACTGGCAGAAAATATAAACAGAAAGTTCACGTGATCGACGCTGCAGCCGCAGATGATTGGCTACTGAAGTCGCTGTTAAGGGATTCTTCGTAGGCCTGAGAATGGCCCTCGTATGACGCATTCAATCCAATCGACGATGATTTGATCGCAAGTTAAAAATTATATTGTAACAAATAATACAACATTCAGATTTACGGATGTAAAAAATTTATGATAATTATTTACTTTAGGGGATCTCAACTCCGATTTTGATGATTTTGAAATATGTTATAGCAAAATAAGATTCTAAACAACTTTTTCCTATGCATATAACCGCCCCACAGCCTTAATTTCCCAGATGTTCGCAAAATTCCTTCCGTGCTACCACATTAAATTCTGCCTATATGTACGCGTCCTTAGCAACGTGTGTAAAAATTGGACTTAATGTCACCTCTACCTAACCCAGACCTAACCTATCCTCACTGGGTGAGATGTGCGTAATGTTAAGATCAATGTTAAGGATTCTAAAGGAACCTTAACATCGCGGGATTTATGATACGGATGCGACTTCTCCGCTATTTTTGAGGATTAGGACTTTGAGACATTTTTACTTGGAAATTACGTTACGGTCATTAAGGAAGCTCCAAACTCCACACGGAACTTGGAATCCTTGGAGATCTTCCTTGCCTTAATAGCGATTGACGTATCGTAAACCAGCGGTAGCGCACAGTTGCAGACCACCGGGGTCTTGGGGGCTTTGGCATTCCCCAAAATGTTTATTTATAAAAGGGGCAACGTTCTCGCTCACCCTTGCATGATGTACCTGGACACTGGACAGTAGGGTGGGCGGGAATGTTGCAAAAGGTAAAAAACGCCCTGCCAAGCTGACGACTTTGATGATTGGCTTGACCAATCCTCTCACTGGTTAACGCTATACGTTTTCGTCGCCTTGGTAGGGGAAGCCAAGCTTAGGTTAAAGGTAACATTAAGATTCCGGTTTATATTCGTTTGATTGAGCCTTACAACCTCGAGTCGACTCTCCACAAGTTTAGAAATATTCTTGTGCAACTAAAAAGAGCAACGGACTCTTCCTTGAAGCAACGGACTTCAAGGTTATCAGTTTTTTCCCTAAACACCACTTTGGGTGGTCCTTCGAGCCTATGGAGAGGGAACACAGCAAGGAGCTGTGTGATAAGCACGGTCCGCGCAATACTATATAGCAAGTGGGCATAATATTTTGCGGCTGAAACAATAAAATTTATTCGATTTGAACTATTTTGATTATCAATATGCGTGGCTAGCCACGAATCGATGAATTGAGTTAGGGTCAGGATAGATTTATTATTCAGGCCGCCATTAGGCAAATCGAAGTTCAAAATCATTGAATCGGTCAAGTTTGATCTTTTGCAAATCTTCACTTTACAGATTCACACTTGTTTCAGTTCGTCCTCAAATTCATGCTTAACTATATGAAGGTGTACTGTCGCTCACGCTGCTACGAACGCATATGTAAAGGTAGAATTCAATGTGGTAGCACGAAAGGAATTTTGCGAATATCTCGGAAACTAAGGCCGTGCGGCAGTTATGTGTATAGGAAAAAGATGTTCAGAACCTTATTTTCTATAACATATTTCAAAATCATCAAAATCGGACTTGAGGTCCCCTAAAGTAAATAATTACCAAATTTATTTCACGAGTCATTAGAACAGATTACGGTTGAAAACGAGAAAATGCGTTGAACATGTTGTTCAAGTTATTGAACACAGATTTTGGCAATTGGACCATAATATTGACACATTATTCATTTATAATTAGTTTAAATTGTGACAGTTCAAACACAGAATCAACATAGATTGTATATAATAATAAATATAAATTAAATGTTGGAATATACTTTTCCATAACTTAATTTGTATTTTCATTTGCCTTCTTATTTACACTATTATGTAATAATATTAATATTATAGTAATATTGAGAATGAGTACTTTTTGTTTAAAAAATTAGCTTTTTTCCTACTATGTAGAGATCTGAACATGACGTTTCGTCCTTGGTCTGATCACGCGTTGCTCGCATGCAGCTGTTCATATTTCCCGCCAGTTCTCATTGAACAGAGTATAGTTCAGAGTATAGCAGCTATTAACGCAGGCTCTATCGGTAAAAGTTCAAGTTCTTCCAAGAAATATAATCGTAACGAATCTCGTTATAAATTTTCAACTAATCGAGAAGCGGAGATCAAATTTTTTTTATCAGAGAATATGAGCTCGGCTGATCTTCGACGGGAGTTTGTAGAACTTGTCCAGAAGGCAAATCGATCGTTGAACTTGACAAATTTCTCTATTAGACGATGCTGCAACCGTTGTTGTGACGCATTTTACCACTCTTCGACATGGTGAAGCCAGGACAACATTGATCCTGTTGCGTCAACGACTGCGAGTTGCTGACGTCGCTGTGAAACGGCGCGTGATATCCTTTGCCCTTCTTGCAGAACACGTCCTTTTCTCGCTTTGAAACGTTCGCGTCCACGGAAGACGCCCTGTCCTCGTACGATTCCTCGGACACTGAGCTTGAACTCGCGTTCACTTGTACTTCTGTCTTCGTTTGCTGTCCGGGTGACTGGTTCTCCAAGCGAGGCGACAGGCTGTCCCTGTGCTGTCGAAAGTGTTCCTCCGTGTCGTTCAGAAGTGAGCTAAACATGTCCATGTTCCTAGTGATCACTGCTCCCATCGAGTTCGACCTACAATCTGCAAATATTTATTTATTGTAAAAAATACAAATCGTAGCTGGCGTCCAATAAAATAAACGAGGTATCGGTAGTTGGAAGGAAGAATTATAAAGATGTAGCAGTTGCATCAATTTTCTGACAATGCTGCCATGATACATCATTGGAAAGTTTAACTATGAATATTTATTCATAATTCTAGTGGTTACTATGATGTAATATTTCTGGCGTCATTTCCCATACTCGCCACTAGAGGAGTCGCGCTCAACCGACCCCTCCGTTGCTATACAAATCCTGGTGTAGTATACACTCCTCGACCAACTGCCCAATTGGGTTTGCTAGAAGGCCTTTTACTTATGAGTCTACTAGCAAGCTTGGACGAAACGCTTCCCCTCTCCTTTCTTCTTCTACCCTCCTACGATTTTTCTCGAGATTCTACCACCAGCGAAGTAGCGCCACATATTCAAAATAACTTAGATACTAAAGATACAAATATGAGTCAGTATCCTTGAAGAGGTTAAGTCATCGTTTTGCTGGTTTCAAATTCGTCTAAAAAATACAAGCCTTCAAAGTTTACGACTTTGCCCAAAATGGGTGGTACTTGGGAATTTTCATCACGGATACTATTCATCGTATCGAGATGTTATGTTTTAATTGAATTCGATAAGGGGGTGGCCTTTTTAAATAAATTTTGTTCCAAACGGGAACTTAATACTACAGCATCAGAAATTATAAATAAACTTTTGTTTTTTAAATACAGATTCGCGGACGTGTTTTTAAAATTTTCGATAAAATACTGTCGTATTCCTTGGACTCTTTTCCACGAAATACGCTTTTTTATAGAGCGATGCAACGCTTATTAAAGTCATAGTAAAGTGCCAAAGATGTCCATGCGTCTCGTGTGGGGTACATCGTCTCCCGTGCTCGTCACCAGAGGGATCGTTCCTCTCGCAAGCGCTCGACCAACCTTCCATTAATATACAAGGCGTCTTGTTTAAGTGAGTTCAGCAAGATATCTCGGAAGGAGTTGTAGTTATTAAAAAAATGTTCGTACAAAAGTTGTTGGTAGGACGGGCTCTATCGTGTAGTACTAATTGTTTTCTTGTGTTATTCAAATGCTCCCCTCTCCTTACCCTTCCCATTTTATCAACAAGACCCCACATAAGTAAACGAATCGCGTGCTTTAGTTGTATGCTTTCTTAAATTGTTAAGCCGTTTTGTCGAAGGACCAATCGACCTACCCTTTGTATCGGTATTCTTCGTTGGTGAATTTGCGACTGATCTCCGAGCAACGTCCTGAAACGTGATCGGCGAATAGATTCTTCTTTCTTCGGGAAGAAACGAGGAATCAGGGAGTGCTGGAGATACCATCTTGGAACCACGTCTGGAGGACGTGTCTAAACAATGTTGGCTGTCGAACATAGACGATGTTGTGAAGGTACCGGTTGTTCCCGCTGAAACTCGCTTCTCGATGCTCCTCGTGTGCCACTGCGGTGGTTCTTGAATAGTAATCCCTTTCGTCGACGATGACCTGTATTCCCTCTTTTCCAGCCAGTAAGTTTTCATCGTCCCTAAAATACGAATAGATCGCATCAATGCTTTTCAACACTATCGAGTCATTTCGCACGAAATCGGACACCTTTTGGAGTAAGTTTTCAAATCATGTTCAACTTTGGATACGTTGTAGACCTTAGCGATATTTAAACGTATTTCAAAGGATTTTTCAAAATTGTATAAATAGTTGATGTTATAGACGTATAAAGTTGAGTGCTACTTTTTTTCAAAAAACTATAGCTGCTGAAGTAACAAACGGATGAGAATGCACTTTTGGCTGCTTGTAAAGAAGACATTAAAGCACCAAATAAAACTTGTATAGATTAAAAAAAAAAAATTGTTTTTACTATTTTTTTTTTGCAACTGTTTGAAAAAAATGCCCTGTTTTTTGTACCAGGGAAATATTTAAAAACCTGAAAAAAATGACAACATAGCCACATTTTCTTGAAAACATGGGTAATTTAAAATTGGCTTTATGAAAATTAATTTCAGCGCACGCTATATCAGTGCGCCGCGGCGCCATTGTTTTAGAGGATATAGTTAATATTTATAATGCTATTGGGAATTTAGGAACTCACTCTTTGTCGATGGTACTAATTATATATTGGCAACATTTCTGTGCCACTACTTGACGAAGTTATTAGTAGACTACGGATGTTTATGAAAATATCTTTTTAAGAAATAGAAGTTTGTTTCATTACTGGAGGTCCTTAAAAATATAATTTTTATTTTGCATATGGCATATATTCTGTATATTTTTTATAGAAAGATATGTCATATATGTTTATTGCATTTCTATTCATAAAATTAATGCTTATATGGGCTTCCAAACAACTATTTCAGTCTACTAATTCAACGTTTGTATACGACAGTCATGGCAGAAATGACAACATAGCTGTGTATACATCTCGTGTTTACCTATAGTGAATCATTAACCCTTTGACTACGGCCAATTTTCATGCAAGCACATGTTGTGTGCAGAAAACTTTTTCATGCCTCGAGCAACACACAGGTTGAACGCACATGGGCGTTTGATGCACGCAGCCAACTAACTGAGAGCCTATAGGCGCTTTGAAAAATCCTTTGAAATACGTTTAAATATTGCTAAAGACTAGAACGTATCCAAAATTGAACATAATTTGAAAATTTACTCTAAAAAGTGTCCGATTTCGCGTGAAATGACCCTTAGACGAATAACCTTTTTCGTACCTTTGCCCTTCACCTCTATTTCCCCTCGTTCCTTTACTTTGTACGACGGCGATAATAGTTCTCGCGTGGATTGCGATATATGAATTTGCATCGCCTGACTCGTCGCCTCCATTCGCGATGCAGTGTTCACAGAATCACCGAAGAGACAATATCGCGGCATTTTTAAGCCGACGATGCCAGCCACCACGGCGCCGCTGTGAATTCCAACCCGTATTTGAAGATGGAGACCTAGAAGAAAGTGAACAATAAATGTATTTCGATCGCTTGCAGGGGAAAACTCGTCTGCCTCTTCGTTTCTAAATTACTCTACATTAACCCTTTGCACTTCAAGAATTTATTTTCATAGAACAAACTGACTACTCGAATACAATTTTGCAACGCCATTTTAAGGAATATTAAAATCGTCCTTTTTCAGCAGTGAAATTTAAAAATGTTTGTGATAAGGGTCTGTACAGCCATTAATTTTGACTATTTTTCGATGTGAAAATTTCTGAATATTACTGAAAGAGAAATAAATATTTATGCGAAACGCCGATGCAAGAACTTGCATAGTTTCTTTATAAAAAAATACCAAAGAAAACATAAAAAAACGCATTTTACAGTAAAAGACTCCCTTAATCGATACTTAACACTAAACATACCGGCACTTCATGTATACCCAATCCTACCATGACCGGTCAAATGTTTTTCTTTTTCTCTTTTACGAGGCAACGTACTTCTACTTTTTGCATTATACGTATAGAAAGTTGTATTTTGATGTTTATTCGCAAGATATCCTCTTCTTCTATGTTAAAAAATTGTTTAATTTTCATCGGATAGAAGATAAAACATCCTTGAAAACAAATTTTGATCCAAGTCGATACGGTAATAAATTCTAAAGAAAACAACTATTTAAAAAAAAGTAATGGCTAGTAATTATGCAAACATCCTGTATTTAAATTCATTTTCAATTAAATAAACAATTTGTGGCCCAATTTTATCGTACACTAGTCATACGATCAGTAGGAATTGCTGACATTTCTTCGGGTATGTAGCGTCAAAGAAAATTTCAAAATACACATAGAAGATAGCAAATATTATAGTAGGTGATATGATCATTAGGTAGAGGACGAAATGTCCTTTAAGGGGCCATTCTACCTTGTAGGCACGAAAAATACATGTTTCTTTGTGATTTTTTTGCGGGCTATTAAAAAGCGATTAATTCCTTGTTTTGTAGATACATTTATTATATATTTAGCTATATTTAGGAATTTTTGCAACGCATAATATGTATTGATTACGCTGTTTTTGTTGATCAACAAACAACAGTTTTTACGAACGGCGCCTGACTGCGTATGTGATATCTTGCGAACAAGTTGTCCAAAATCCAAAAACCAACGATATTCTTAATGTAGATGAGTGTGGTTATAGCATGAACTAGGATATTTTCATATATTCGGCTGCTTTTTTGTAAATAAAAGAAAAAGTATTGCATATTACGCAATTATCCTAGTTCATGCTATAGGGAGACCAGTTCTAAAGATACTGTGTAAATTTCATGTTCATATCTTGAATAGTTTTTTCGTTATCACATACGCAGTGCCGAAAAATGTAGTTTCGAGAAAAACAGCTTTAAAGTTTCACGTCCAGTTGTTATACCTGCGCGCGGTACATTTCAGCAGGTTATAACTTCGTTAGTTTTTCAAATTTCAATTTAATATTTGGTAGATATATTTTCGAGACAACATACTAAAAGAAAATGCAAACAAAGTTTGATTTTTTAAATCCCACAAGGTAGAAAGGCCCCTTAAAACGAGTCAATAGCTTTATTAGTTCCGGCGATATAGCGATTTTAATTTCAAGTCGATGCGGTGGCTAGTTTCGGAGATAGGGTCTGTTTACGTTTCGTTGTTGCTCTCGCGAGTTCATTGACCACGCGCGCGGGACAATAGTAAACAATGCGTAGTAAATTCTTGGAAATACTACGCCGCAACTAGATCACTCGGTCACGACTCACGTGCGACAAAGAGTTACGACGCGATGCGTCCGATGGAGACAGAGATAGTAGAAATTAAAAAATTACCTTTTACATAAATTACGATATCTCAAAAACGGAAAGTCCGATCGACGAAAACCAAAAACCATTTCAAAGGGGAGGCTTCGCCACTGCTAACGATGGCTCGATCATGGAGAAAATATTAATAATTTCGAAACTGCAGGTAATTAAAGTTTTTAGTAATTTAATGCGTGTTAATAGGCTTTCGTAACACGGGAAGCGCCATAAGAGAATTTTCTAAATATTATCTATTTACATAAATTACGATATCTCAAACATGGGAAGTCGGATCGACAAAAACCAAAAGCCATTTTGAAGGGGAGGCTTTCCATCAGTGGTTTAATTATTAATAAAACACTAGTAGTTTCAGAACTGCACGCATCTAAAGTTTTTAGTATTTTTAATACGCGTTAATAGGCTTTCGTAAGGCGCAGTGTCAGACGTAGCGGAATTTTAAAAATTACGATTGTCTTTATATGATGATATCTCCATAACGGAAAGTCGGATCGACATAGACCAAATGCCATTTCAAAGGCGAGGCTTTGCCGCTTCTAACAATGGCTCAATATTTAATAAAACACTAGTAGTTTCGGAACTGTACGCATTTAAAGTTTTAGTATTTTTAATACGCGTTGATGGACTGTTCTAAGACAGTGGAAACTGTAGATTCCCTCCTTTCGTCTCTGCTATACATATACACTCTCAGCCAAAAAGATAGCACATGTGCGCTATCTTTAATTTCTCACTGACACACGTACAATTTTGGGTTTGTAACACATAATATAGTAAGCTTACGAGCTCAGAACATGCGGATCGCTGAAAAGATGTCGCGGCATCACGGCGTTTTGTTTACAAAACAGAAACAGTGTTGTATACGAAGGACGAAATGATAGCACACTTATAAAGCAATAAACATTTATTTAATTTATTATCAATCTATATAATTATTCATTAATTGTTTAATAATGAGTACATCCTCCTTTATTTTCTATGATTTCAATCATTCTATTTGGTAACGACTTATATAATTTTTGAATATTTTCTTGATTTAAATTCCGCGACAATAGCTTCTTTTAGTTCGTGGACATTCTCGTATTGTTTCCCATGTTTGTAAACTGCTTGACTGAGTTGACTCCAATAATTTTCGATAATATTAATATCCGGTGAGCGCGCAGGCCATGATAAAACACGTATAGGTTTTTACAAGTTTTGCAGTATGTACCGCTGCATTATCCTGCTGATATATGAATCCGGACCCAGATATACGTAGGGCATGCTTTGTTATTTGTTGCTTTATCAAATCCAAATAATATTTACTGTTCATTTTTCCATAAATAAATTTTATTTCCGTCTTACCGAAGTAACCGATGGCCGCCCACACCATTACTCCACCACGGCCCATTGCTCGCCGAATCTTTGACAATTTTTCTTTTCTTAGTTCGTGGAAATAATAGTTTAAACCATCAGGTCCATCTAAATTAAATTTTTTTTCGTCGGAAAATATCACTTTTCGCCACTTCTTCTTCCAGTGTATTCGATCTTTGGCAAATTGTAAACGTTCTTGTTTGTGCCGTGGAGTTAATGCAGGTTTCTTTTTTATTTTTAGTCTTCTAATGTGCTTGCATGATTGTAATACACGACGAACACTTGAAACACTTGCATTGACGCCAGCCTTTTGCATGATTTGTTTTGTTGTACACTGGGTATTGGAAGCTATACGCAAAACAGTTCGTTTATCCCATTGTGACAACGATGATGGTCTTCCACTACTCTTCTTTTTACCATAATTTTCCAAGTTTTTAAGTAAATTATAAATTACCTTTCGACTTCTGCTAGTTATTTTCGAAATTTTAGATACTGATAAATTTTGCCTTTTCAGTTCAAGAATATGCTTTATTTCTGATATCGTTAATTTTTTCCCCCGTCCCATTCTTGTAAATTACTAGGCAATACTTTCGCGTCTTGAATATCTAAGAGATCGCGAAATACTGAGCAGTTTATAAACATGTAGACGGAGTGTGCTATCATTTCGTTCCTAGAATACAACACTGTTTCTGTTTTGTAAACAAAACGCCGTGATGCCGCAACCTCTTTGCAACGATCCGCATGTTCTGAGCTCGTAAGCTTACTATATTATGCGTTACAAACCCAAAATTGTACGTGTGTCAGTGAGAAATTAAAAATAGCACACATGTGCTATCTTTATGGCTGGGAGTGTATTTGCCATTTACATCGGAAGCAAACCAGAATTTGGTACCAAATTTTGTCTAGTTATTTACAGAAAAATATAAATCATTCAACCGGTCAGATGACCGGCCGTTGTAGGCAAGACAGACTACATACTTTTCTCAGAAAACAAACAATAAGCATAGAAGTGAATATTGTAAAATTCATTGTACGTATACTATAAGAAAAGTCGCGAAGTTAAATGGCGCTAAAATAATATTGTGTGTTAGAAATTCTAAACGAAATTTTTAAAACGGTCATTTGACCTGTCACGATAGCTTTTGTGTTAAATTTAATCGATGCGAAGAATATCATCGAAAACGCAAATGTGCGGCTGGTTAGCGTTGACGTTTGAATATGACTCTTGAAGGCAGTCGAGTTGGTTGTTTGGATACCAGAACGTTTGAAAAAAGAAATATACGAAAAGAAAAGAATAGAATAAAAAGGGTTTCCGAGTAATAAAAATGTGATATAAAAATTAAATATTTCCTACAAAGGACTCATCAGTTTTCGTTGATTATTCTTTCTTTTTAACAAAGTTTGTTTGAGTTAATAGTTAATCGTTAATTAGTTGAACATTTAAAATAATATGAAACGAATTATGAAACAAAGTATTGGTCGCCCAAGAGGACCCGAAAGAAATAGCCCACGAATAATTTCCGATGATGTTGTTTCTCCGACATATGTATTTGTATTAATTCAAAGTTAATAAACAAGCCTTGTTAATAAAGTTGTGTGTAACACTTACTTCGCAGTAACAGCTTACACCAGAACGATAACAATTTGCCCCACGACGGGGTAAGAAGTTCCGCTTCGACTAATCACCAAAAAAACGAGTTTCTCTGAAAAACTTATTGCAATATATTAAATTTGAGCTGAAAATCTTAAAATATAATAAAAACAATAAATTAGTCAGTAGTAAAGAAAATAACTACATTATTTTCTAGTCATTTTTTATGTCTTCTCA